AAGCCTGAGTTAGCGGGCAGTATTCCCTGTGCCAAGAGCCTGTACGACAAAGGTGCGTGTCTTTGAGGCAGGTTTCACAAGGCGGTATCTGAAGTAAACTGGAGGGTATTGCTTGCCCCAGAATCACCACGTCAAGTCCAGAATGGAAACGTTACACTGCCTATTTTCAAGCAGTGTGGATGTTTTAACAACAAGGCCAAGCAATCCTTTCAGAAAAACCAGCACAGATAATTTTCAGCAGTTATGCCGTGACATTCCTCAACTACGACCTAGATGCAAGAAGGCAAACACTTTGCTTCTCAGAGTTTGAGGCCGTTATTAAAGTTACTGAATCTTGCTCTTACCTAATCTCTGCTCCTCATGACAAAAACCTTTGCTCCTAAGCGAACAGCTGATCCACTAGTGAATTCCATTTGGAAAGGCAATCCTTCGCCCAGTATGTTACAGTTAAAGCTATTCAGACTAGGTTTAACGCAGGGGGCTGAAAAATGAAGTCTTGTGACTGTTCTGCTGCTCTGTTTCAATTAAGAGCTCTTGACACCAACACTCCCTCACCTCTGTTGTGCCTCAGTTGCCCCATTCTACCTGCTGCTGAAGCCCTGCTCCTAGTACTTGCTCACTCCCTTCTTGCCCCTGGTGTGCCATGTTAAGTGAGACTGGGGAGGGGGGAGGGAGAAAATGAAGAAATGCCTTTTTTTGTGCAGTAACTTCCTTCAGAGTCCTGACAACTAACATACTAGTACTCCCCATACAACGAACAGCTTTAAAATACTCCTATACATAGCTTGCTCTTTTTCTGCTGCATATGTGGAATGCTGCTTTATTTCAGAGATTTATTTTTTTTGATGACATGGAAATTACTCACTACTGATGCCCAAATTATCAGTGTGATCCTTTGAGTGTTCCAATAGCTTTTACTACTGATGTAATTTTTTAATACCATTTAAAACAAAACCAATGCACTCGAAGTCCTTCAGATTCAACACTACAGTATTACCAATCCCTATGTGAGCTCGAGTTGCTTCTTGGCTCTGCCAGCAAGTCAGGCACGTCTGCTTTCACAGCACGCTCCCTGGGAGGAAAACTGCGTAACAAAATTTTCAGAAATTCAATGCCTTATTGCCTCATAAACCTCACTTACCTCTGCTATACTGACTGAACAACTACCACCTCAAAGAGCTAACTGAACTGCTTCATTTGCTGCTGCTGATTAAGAACCACAACACACTCACCTGTACTGAAGTACCCTGAAGCTGCTGGACAGCCCAATAATTAAGTTTGTTCTCTGAGCACTGTCAGTCACATTTACCTTTTTTTACATAGTTCAGTCTTGACCTACTAAGGACCTTAAGCCACACCAAAATATAGAAATATTTAAAATCAATGCATTTTGTAAATACATTTGGCCAAATGAAACTGTGGTAACTGGGTTTTCAGATGCTCTCAAATTATCTAAAATAAAATAATAATAAAATCCATATTTTTCTCATTTGGATTATTCCAGTCTTAAAACTAAATTTTCCTATTTTATCTCTGCTGCCAAAATAAACATAACAGCAATGCTCAGCAAACAAGTCTAAAGTACTGGAAGAAACCCCTAACAGCCTCGCTAGTGTAATTTTTTTTTCCAACCACTGTATGAATTGAGCAATATACTTAAAACTGCAACACTCAGCCACAGACGATGCAACAATACCAGGAGCAATGTTAATAACCGACTGCTAAAGCCTAGCAAGTGTTACAAGTAAGAAAACCACAGGGGTGAGAAAAGGATGAGAGAGAAGCTCAGCTGCCGCTGACCAACTGCTTTAACCCGTCGGCAGCAGGGTCACAGCCAAGCCAGCACTGCCCTGGTCGGCCTGCCGAGCTTGGTCAGAAAGGTGAGTATCGCTGCACTAGAAACAGAAGTACTGCCTGATGGGACTTGGAGGAAAGGTGTGAGAAGCATCCTACAGACAGACACACTGTTACGATATGGACAATACAACATTTCATTCAGTAACTGAATTAGAAATAGGAAAATGTGCTGTGCCCTACAGATAAAGCAGCCAAAACGTAGGAAAAGCAACCCCACACTTTACCTGCATAAAGCACTCACAGTGAGCACAAACAGAAGCAGCAGATTCTGACTGGAACATTCAAACCAAAGGGTAGAGGTCAAATAGTTCCCCGGGAACTCTCCACTACTGCCAGCCATTGAGGGCAGAGGACTACTGCTAACAGCTGAGCTATAGTTCAGCCAGGGATTTTATTCAATCTCCTTGTGGGACTACAACATACCCCTGCAGCAAAAGAGATTGAGCTGAAAAGTGTTGTTGATTTTTGTGGGGTTTTTTTGTTTTGTTTTTCACAACTATTAGTGAATTAAAAAAATACACACTAAGAACAGAACTATTACCGCAGCGGTACATATATGCTGGCGTAAGGCTGCCAGCAACACAGTGACAAGAAGAACTCCTTCCCGCAAGGACTACTGCACATACTGTTCAGTCATTTGGACCAAGCCACTTCTATAAGCAAAAATATAGCTTTACTTCTATTTAAAAAACAAGAGAAGGATGGCACAGCTAGTGAACAGACAAATATCAAAGGCTGTTTGCTTTACCAGTGTAAAAATAAACCCCTCAAACTATTTCCCAATTTTACAAAGATACTTTTAGAAGATTGTTTAAATGGAGTGTCTCAGGACAATTTTATTTTTTCAGTTTGTGTAACAGCTATAAACAAATGATTTTTAAAATTGCATACCTACAGCACTACAGATTCACTGTCATCTCTGGGAAAATGAGTTACAGAAGCAAACTATCCAAAAACATCCCAATGTACAGCACTGCTTCCTCCCTTCTTTTACATTTAAATACATAAAATGATACAGAAGGTATATTGGTCACATTTCGTATCAAAAAAGTCCAACATTCACAAAAAAAAAAAAAAGAAAAAGGTAATACTATGGAACATACTCTTTGAATGATCTCTTATCATAGTATAAGCTGCACTGAACTCTTTTGTTTCTGTAAGAATAGATATTTTCAAGTAACATATTCCAGAAAATGTGAGTTTTCTTAAGTATTTGAAGCTCAACATTCACCTAATTCTCCACTTACTTACTAACATTCTGTAATCCACCCTGTCTGAAGCTCAGGAAGTATGTTTGCTCACAATGAAGTGCCATTAAACAACAAGGCAAGACTATTACTGAGGATCTATCCATTTAACCCACAGAAACTTAAAAATATTACACTGGAATACAGAAATTAAATGATTATTTAATACGGAACCGTCCACGGTCACATGGGTTCTAAAGTAAGATTTACAGTGTCAAGACTGCTCTGTGCAATCATTTTCACTGTTCAGACCCAACTGTATGTTCTCAAATTCATGTCCTGCGTAAGAAATACTAGAAGTCCCTGTCCACATGTGTAGCAGATGTTACAATGGGAAATTCCTCCAACTGCAGTAACATTCAGTTGCCCAATTTAAGTGGAAGCAACTCAAAGGTATGCGGTAAAGCAGGGAAACAATATATCCAATTTGAAGTCTGATCACACACCAAACAGGAATCAAGTACAGGTCAGAACTGAGTAATATTAAGGGTTTTCTTTAAGTATGTAGATACCAATGAAAATAGAGAGGCTACGCTGAAGGGGAGAGCACCTGACATGGATGTTTTGCACTGTGTTTAAAAAATGCATTAAAATGCAATCAAAACAGAGGCTGAACTAAAGCAGGCAACCACAGTATTCAATACAAGAGCCATACATAAACTAGTACACCCTACTTCTTGCTTTCCTGTGCTGCATAGGAAAAGGCTTGCCGAAAATCTGTTCCCCTGTAGTTCATAGTCGACATTCACGTACCAGGTCATGCAAACTGGCACAAAGCCTCAAAAAAACCCACACAAGCTTTCTTTACGTGCACCATGTTTTTTATGCTGTGGTATTTGCCAATGCAAGGTATTGTTTGGATGGCCAAGTGCACTTATCTCTGTGTAAAAGCTGCAATTCTTCAATAAAGAAAACGGGAAGGCAGGAAAGCAAACACAGAGTGTAAGGCCAATGTCAGTCCCAAGTCCTTTGGGTCATCTTTTTAGCACTACACTATTCTTCTGTAACTAGACAGACTTGCAAGTATCAACAGGGCAACAAGCCATCTTTTGAAAAAGAATTCTGTGTCACGCTAATTAAGCAGTATTTTACATTAAAACCAGTCATGTTTATAAAAAATTACTTTTCCCCTCCCAAAATAGAATTTTCTTACACAATGTTATGCTATGAACTCTACTATGCCTAAGTATCACGCTATCACTAATAACATGCATTCCTCATAATCTTCTTGAGCTCTTAAATCCAATTCAAATACAGACTTCCAAAGGGTCACAAACAACGCACAGTAAAGTCCTGATCTTCGCTTGATGACTCTGAAATGTTTCTGGTATGCATTACAGAGAAATACAAACTTTCAGCAGCTTTAGAACTGAAAAGCCAGTATGTCACAAGACAGAGATCAAAACAGAAGAGTAGCTGTTACAGATATATAGTAAACTCTAAGAATTACACTCGTGTTTATTGAAAAGTTTGCTACTGGCATTCCAAACAGTAACAGCAGTTCATAAAATATAATGGTCCAAAATGACTTTCAAATGGTGTAACTACATCTACGTTAAGAACTCCAATAATGGCAAAGATCCAAAACAACATGAGGGAGGACAAAAATTAAAATATGTCCTGCTAAAATAAGTCTTTCAAATTATCATTTGAAATTATAATTTGCAGAATAAGCCAGTAAACAGCAAATATTGCAGTGCCAATTCAAAGATGCATAAGATACCGTCAACACAGATTAAGGGGAAATAAACACATCAAAACAGTAATCAGGTTCTCAGCGCATACAATCAATAGGAAAAAGATCCTTAATTTTTAGAAATAATATACTTTGAACAAGCAATGTAAATGCAATGCATCACTGTAAGATGATACCAGAAGGAATTTTATTAGACATACCTTTTCTCTCTGTTTTCTGTGCAGGGATGGAAGATGTGGATGTAGGCAGTTTTGATAAAGTAGATGCTCCATTAGCATCAAAGGATTTCTTTGGCTGGTGATCAGATTGTAGAGAAAATGGACTAGGAGGAACAGTGCTTGGGGTAGCAGTTGGATGAACCACGGGTTTGATGGGATGCTGTACTGGAGTAGAACTACTGTGAGTCTCTGCTCTTGGCAGTCTGTAGTCTCTGTCATTGTGTCTGCTTGTTTGAGATAAAATATTCTGTGGGAGCATACTACTGGCGTCACTGGAATGCTTGTCTTCCACTTTTTCCAGGATTCCCCAGGTAACATTGCAATAAGAAAAAAAGACTAAATTAGAAACTTGTATGAGATTGCGGTGACTTTGATTAATAAAGATGCACATCAACAACTAGAGCTGATTGAACTTCTTATGATTATAAAAAGCCTCAAGCAGATCGGCAACAAAAAAAGGCAAAATTTAATTTTACTCACTGACAAAATGCATTTTCTCAGACCTTTGCTTGATTTAGAGTCCGGTTAAGCACCATGTTTTGATGAAAGGCTGCTTTATAACAAGTGTTACAAGTCAAGTTAACATTTGAAGTCTCCTAAAAAAAAATCTAAATCAAAATCTATTATTTCCATCTCACGTTTAGCATGAAGAGCTAATGTGTGCCATTTTTCTTTTGTTCACTGAAAATCCTGAACATCGAGTGTAATTCAGTAGTTTCAAATTCCAGCCTTCAAACAATTCCACTTCAAGTCATTTGAGTACTACTACAAAGAATTTACTTTCCACTGAATTAATCCAAGACGACTATATATGAAATGAGTGACTAATCTGCATTTGTCACGCAACCATCGACTTTGAAATATGCGACACAGGGAACACACCAAGTAAATACAGAGTAATTATTTTTATTGATTCCTAGATTTTTCACCTGTCACAAAACAAACAGTTACTGCAATATGCATTTCTGCTATCTTTTTATAGCACACAGTATGTTTCAGCATATGCAGCATGTTTCAGCAAACGCAGAAAACCATCCCTTTATATATCTCTGCCTCGCCAAGTCCCAAGCGAGGGGGGAGAGGGGGAGATCACCACTTTGGCTTCTACTCTTTAACCACCCTGAGAACCATGCTACAAATTCATCCGAACTGCATCAGCATGCAGAAGGAATCTCACAGTAAAACCACATCCCAGAAAGATGTGACCAAGTCAGGTATCATGGAAAAAAATAAAATCCAAGTAACAGAAATTCATAGTCCAGGAAAGGCTTTGCTAAGAGTACTGGCATGATAAATATGTGCTTTCAATAATGTACACATGACTGAAGCCAATGATATCATAATCCATTAAATTAGCTTATTATTTTCAGATGTGAAATAAAGGTTTTAAAAGAGACTTCTGTGTCTCTGTTTCTAAGTTCACAATATGACACTGACAGTTCTCAATGATCATGACAGTCTAACTATATCACAAACTGCAAATTGTTTCACTAACTACCTATAAAGATAATTAAATCAGGCAGTAGAAGCTGCAAAAAGGAGGAGTACCGTGAAAAGCATTAAAAGACTTGAAGTTATTTTAAGAAACATTTGGGACAGCTGTCCCAAAGCTATCCGCTTTGGCCTTTTTATATAAAAAGGTGAGAAAAACAGCTAAGGAAAGGAATTTTTTTAAGTTTGGAAAAGAGAACAGTAATGCAAACAAGGCAAGAATATACTACTATAAAAAAAGCACATACTTCCACTGGCAAACCCACTGGCAGCTGTCGCCTGCATCACCTCTCTTCTGTAATCCCTATCTTTTGGAAAACTGTTAACTGACATTTTGTTTGCTTCTTTTTGTCTCTGCTCTCTGAAGAAAAGAAAACACAAGTTAAGTAAAAACTTACATCATCTAATAATATAACACTTTCCATGGGTGAAGTTACATGAGATGCATTAAACTATTGTAAGAGATTGCTGCTGTAGATAGGGAGGCAAACTCCAGGCACTGCTTCCTTACACCCTGCTTGTCGAAGCCCCCAGTATACCAGTTCAGCTCACTAACGTTGCAAAAAAAACCCCAAAACCAAATAAAATAAAGCACCTCCCCACCAAAAAAACCCCCAAACCTACCATACTTCCCAGCCCTGTTCTGGATCATCAAGGGATAAAAGAGTTGACAGAGGTCATGGTAAAGGTCCATGCAGACTTGGACTACAATCTTTTATAGCAGCAATCTGTTAGGTAAGCTCTACTGCTCTTAAAATGAGCTTAAGAACATTTGTTCATTATACAAAGAATACAGACACACACATATACCTTTCCAGCCACTCTTTTGGTTTTTCCCATTGTGAAACTTCTGTTCGGCAGTTGTAATAGTATTTTTTGCCCGAAGAGCTGATGTGTTCAGACCAATCATCCGCAGAATCGTAAGCCTTTGAAACACAGTGTTGGACAAAAGACTAATTGAGAGTTTGAATACACAAATTTTAAAGCTTCCACCATTTAAAAAACTACCTGGCATCCTCACATGCATGCCTATTGCTGCTTTCCATTTACATAATTTCTAACTGCCTGTTTCATTTTGACAGTTTAAAGACATGATGACCATGCTCCTGCTGCATTTTGCAATAGTTTTTTCTGGTTTATTCCTAGCAACCCCAAACCAAAAATCTAATAGTATGTTTTACTGAGATACAGTAATAAATATTGTTAACATTAGTTTTCTGCATGTTAAAAATTCCTCAAAAACTATTATATTATAAAAAATTTTTTATACTTTAAACATTTATTTATTCTGTTTTCAGTGCAATTTTTAACAACCACCACCCTAATTACTAAAACTTGGATAATAAAGCGACTAAAATTCACAATGAGTAATGCATCTTAAGTACGTAAAATCATACTGTCTTCTCTAGATTTACCAAAGTTCATGGAAAATATTTCCCTCTATATCTACTTCATTTAAAAAATGTAGAATTTTAAAATTCAAGACAAGTACCTCAAAACTCTAATGATTATCAATTAGAATAGTTTTATAACATACAACACCTGCAGCTTGGGTTTACACAGTGTTTATGAAATGAAGACTGACACTGAAAAATTCAATGAAGCAGGTAATGTACAAGCTGCCTGTTCTAGACAAAATGATGAAGACCATGTGTATGAACAGGGGTGACACAGGGATGAATACCATCACAAATACTCACTGCATCAGAAGCTTTGCTTGGATTATTGCTGGGATTAGAAGAATGTGAATTTGAACTATGAAGAGCACTGTGGTTATGTGAATTTTCTTGTGGAGAGTAACTGGTCCCTAAAGGAAAAAAGGAAAGACTGTTCAGCATTTTAAAGAAATCAACCATCTGCATTCTGAGGAGGTGGAAGGGGAAGGGAAAGGAGAGGGGAGAAGGCAAGTTGTCCACAGCCTGGACCACAGCATAGTTCAGATGCAGAAGTATTTCAGGGGACTATAAGAGTATTTCTCTTTCACACAGTGTAAAGCTCAATTTCCTTTCCTAGTTACAATAATGCATTATGTCCCTTCACCAGTCTTACTGTCAAACTTCATTCCACCACAAACAAACAAGTAGCCTCTTTATTTTTTGATGGTTGGAGGAGTCCTAACGTGCCAATTCACAAGTTAAGAGACATTTTCTTCTCCACATTATGTCAGAAAGTTTAAACAGGTTTAGCAACAGCCTACATACTTAGATACACAAAATCAGGTTCTAAGTTCATCGAAGCAATGCTGTTTCTTAACTCTTTTGAGACTACTTTGTAACTGGTTCTAGGTAACTACTTCTGTTTATGCATACAGATGAATTTTCCTGCACCTCAGTCTCCACAGTATAGGTACTGACATGTAGAATACCAAAGCTGCATTTCCAAAACCGCCACCTGCTTCTGGCCTCCCTAACAACTGCTTCTCAAGGTGCTTGCTGTGAAAACACTTCAACACAGAACAGCAGCTGGGAAATGAGAAGGGAGATAATTCTCAACACCTTTTACACCTACATTGGTGCCTAAGCTAAAGTCACCAGTTCACCTGAACACATACATTACAATTAAACAAGGCCATCCATTAAACTAATCTGTTTAGTACCCTACAAAGGTCAAAGGCCGACTTGCATATGACTCTGCATGAGTTATTGTAACCTGAACCATCAATAGCTCTGAACCTTTTCCTACACTATTCTGGTTAAAATCATGTCATTCTGTGAAATAAATAAATAAATAAAGGAAAAAGTCTTGTCCTCAACTACAGCCTTCCAAAAGCAAGACAGTTAGTCCTACGCCAAAAGCATCCTGCACGCTCAGACACGTAGAACGATTTACCATGGGGGTAACTTAGAACTTGTCAAAGCAATACTCACAACCTCACATGCTTGTGATGCACATGAATAAAAACAAAACACTGAGCTTCTAGTGAATGATGTGACTTTACCTGTTACATACATTAGAAAATTCCAGAATTTAAACGTTAATATACATTTATAAAAACAGACACATTTAATTCCCCTAAATGTATGCAAGAAATGTATTATAATTACAAGACACTAATTCTCAGTCACACCAGCAGTCTATTTTTTTATACACTGATTACAGAGAGAGGCAGCTGTTCAATATTTTCATATTAATCATTCCATTAATAGTCTTTATTTATTTACTGTACCCTTCCCAGACTCTACTGCGATAAAATCATTAAAAGTTTCTTCATGTATTTCTGTGGGTTGCTTAATGCAGACAGTTAATTTCTACTATAAGGTAAAACCATCTCCCTTTTTAAAGGTGAAAACAAGATGAAAATTTACCAGATGGCTTGTCTCAACAGTGTGATGTTAGTCACTTCAAACTTCAGAAAACACCCATGTAGTTAATTTACTGTAATCCCATACCATGATGCAGTAACACTACACTTTGTTCAGCGTACTCAAGATGTAGTTTGAGATTTTTAAATGTTGTAGAGGTCTTAATACACTGCCACAGCGAATGTAATCTAACACACAGTTTTCCAAACATGAGTAAGAGCCAACAACATACATATTAAATCAGTAAGTCCTTTAATGCCAACTCTATCCAACCCATAAACACACCCCACACAATCACTGAGCAGACTTTCAGCCCCCACGTAGCCTAACAGCTCAGCAGCATCCCCCCACCATTTCACACTGCTCCCTGCCGCCCTGGTTCCCAGCCCCAGTACTGAGTCACAAAGCATCTCAGAGCAACTATCAGAGCAGCTGCAGCAGTCACACCCACCTAGAGCTGGCCCCGATAGCAGAAACACCTACCGCGCGGCAGTTCCTTCAGGAGCCCCTGGACCTCTCTGTGCGGAGCTGCAGGCCTCCTAGCAAAACCGCCAGGCTGCACATCCATGGGCTTGCCCTCAATCAGGGATCTACCCTACCTGAGCTGGCCTCAGCTGCAAAAAAACAGATCATGGCAGCTCCAGCAATACCGACTGCCCTGGCTTACAAGGGCCAACCACAACTATATACCCAATGGTGTCTAAGACAATTACACAGTGTAGTTACAGGTGCAGATTTGCCCCGTACTCCCATTTTATTTTATGCATAATACCGCATTACATTTGGATTGGTACCTGAACTTTAAGGGAATGTGCATACGAAAGGGCTGCCAAACTGGTATTTGCTGTTGGGAAGCTTCCAAGATCAAAACAGCTGACGGTCTGGACAGCAAGTGTCTCAGGCACTTCATACAAATTCAGGGCTTAAAGATCATATGTAAACACCAAAACCATACCACCAAATTAAGCACATACTAAAACCTTGCTGCCTCAGTATAAAAAGGTACGTACCCGCATAGCGGTCACCTAGGAATTCTGACAACCCAGGCAAGCAGGGAATGCCAGCTCAGGTTGCCAGGGAGAGATGCTCAAGATCTTTAAACGGCCACCAAATTAAAACAGTATGCAGAGAGCAAACCACAAGTGGAGGTTCACCTCTAAAAAGAAGCAGGGTTCCACTTACTCATAGGCTAGCTTTCACCATTAGCAAAGCCTAACCCAAGCTGTTTTAAGGTGGCTGTGACTTGCCATGAGCTCTGTGTCTCCCAGCTGCATGTCTGGCAAAGCAGATGATGAGAACAGGGTCACTAAGATTAGTCCATATGCCAGAAACAGGCCTGATAAGGTAGACAGCAGACTCAAGACGTTCCCTTACAGCACTTCTCACTCTTTCCTCTTGCATTTAGGCCTTCCTTACTAGTCTCACTTTCTTCAAGAGACTTGTTTTTAAAATGCTTATTAGCATACCTTAAGATTTAATAATTGTAAATACACATCTTTGATGCACCATAGAGAAATTCATATTGTGCTATAAATCCTCCGTTTCAGTTACAGAACTCCCCATGGAAACGTTTACTGCACCATCACTGTGACTTTCCTCAGCTTAATCATGATTTTGGAAGCAGTTAAATCTGGCAAGAGCTATTCCTAACTGGAAGATGGCCAAGAAGGGCATCAGCACTAGTTATATAAAACTGTAGTGGTGCAACTGTCTGAGCAGGCCTCCACCAAAACTCTCTCTAGTGATCACAGGGCAGGTCAGAGCCAAGGTTAAATTATCACCATGATCTTCAAGTCTTTCCAACAAAATCACACCTTCCTCACTAATGCATGAAAATCAGCAGAAAGCACACAAAAAGCACGGTTCTGGGAACTAATTAAAAAAAAAAAAAAAAACCAAAAACAGGCTGTGACTCAATGCCTACAACAGATTTGAGATTCTGCCACGCTAAGTACTCACTAACATTTTTGTAAGCAGTTTCCAAACTGATGAATCCAAGACAGTTTGAACTGAAATGAGGCTTCGACACTACGCTGGACTCGTAAAGCAGATATAACATAGGGTTAAATAAGAATATTCCAGTTTGCAACATAGTCAACTTTCTCTACCAATTATTATATTTAATTAATGTCTCCGTTAACACCACTAAAACTCTGTGAAATTAAGAAAAGTTGAAATGCTGAGTTAGCTAAGGATCAGATTGCTCTAATAAAGCCACTGATTTCTCTCCCTTCTCCCCTGCTGCCTTCCACTCCTTCCTTTCCAAAACCTATACACCTATACTAGCAACTACAGCATCCATTTGTAAACAGCTAAATTTTCTTGCTGCTTGATTAGAAGAAACAAATACATCACTGTGCATTCCATACTGTCCCCTGGCATCCAAGTGTCTTAGCTTAATTACAACTCTTAAGCTCAGAACATTATACGGTATCATAAACACAAAATCTCCAACTGAAATGCACAAATCGGAACACTGAGACACATTAGTTATCTTCAAAAGATAATCTACAACCCAGATCAAACAGTAAAAAACCCTTTTTTATCCTATTTTTCATCCTCTTCACAAAACGTACACTAAGAAATTAGACAGCAAACAAGTATACAACCCTCCACACGCACACACAAGACTTCAGCCAGGCACAAGCAGTAAAATTACAGTAGTTGCAATAGCACAGTGTTGCACCATACAACAAACAGCGCATTTATGCTTCCTTTTCAGTCAAATACTTTGTTAATATCTTAACTCTCCTTTTGTCCATAACAAAAAGTGTCATTGCAGATAGTACAAAGAAAAGTTAACAAGTGCTCACCAGCTGGGCAGGAAGCACCACAAATGCTCCCCAGCAATAATGAGTGCTGTATCTGCAACTCAGAGGTAGTCCTCCCCCTTCACTTCCTCCAGAGAGAACAGGGATTCAGAAAAGGCTCTAGGAGAGTCGTCTTTTCTGTGCCCAGAAACTAGGCATATGGAAAGAAACAGCGGGTAGCAGAAAAGCAAGGAAGCTCTTTCCACTTGTTTCAACTCCATGCATACTGTTCTGTGACTCCATGTTCCACCTCTTCGCCAATATGCAATCAAATTCATTAAGCTAGAGGCAATATTAGACCTTGAACTTCCTCAGCAGAACAAACACTGCCCAACTGAAAGGCACTATTTGTTAAAAGAGAAAACTTAAAAGGAAGATAGTTCATGCTAGTGATATTTTATGGGGATAATTAATTAAGACTTGTTCAAACAGTGAAAATGATAGAAACTTATCTAGTATAAGCCTAAATTGTCTGAAGTGTATTTCAACTGACATCTTTGTGCAGAACACTTTCTCAAGTTCTGCATATGGGAGGAAAACAAGTAACACAATAGGAACACAATACCCAACATCTCAGCAATAACCGAACAGCCTCTCATGGCCATTTTTATTTGCCACATGTAAAAGCAGGAAGACAAAACCCACTTTTTCTTCACTGCATTTTTATGTGGCCTGCTGTACCAAAATAAAATATG